GGGAATGTTGAACTAATTGACCAGTCAGGGAGGAATTGAGAGATGAAGACTTCAGGACGTGCAGAACATGGATGGAATTCTCGCTGAATGCAAGGTGCCCGCTTGTGAAAGGAACCATCTGATCTCGCCCATTGTATCAGTTACGTATGCCTGCCTGACACTAAGGATACCTGTATAACAGTAAAAAATGCCACAAGAGGCTATAGTAGGATTCTGATTATCTCATGAACAAGTGTTCACTATCAAAACGTGATACCACCAGTTGTTCATTTGAATGGTAACATTATCCTGAAACTAACCATAAAAGGAAACACATTGCTAGAGAAGTGTTTTTTCTGCATATAGTGTGTCATGTTCGGAATGCTGAATTGGAATTCTGACAATCAATAGTGTCAGAGAACGCCATCCGGCGAGATCTCTTGTGGGAAGTAAAAGCTCTGTTAGAATCACGGACAGTGTATTAATGAGACTGAACCCTTTGATCAGACAATGCATTGTCTGTTGGTGGATATAGGTTAAGATCAATGCTTATGAAATACTGCAGCGCATAGAAGCTTGATCCTTGTGAGACTAATTGACCAGATAGAGAGGAATCGTCAGGAATCTAAACTCGCCCATTTTATCTTTTACCTATATCTGCCTGACACTGAGGATAACTGTATAAGAGTGAAAGAAGCCACAGGAGGCTATAGTAGGATTCTGATTATCTCATGAACATGTGTTCACTATAAAAAGTGATAACACCAGCAGCTGTTCACGATTGGTAAGAGTATCCGACGTCACTCATGGCATCCGACAAACATACACAGCGACCTGAACAATTATGATTCAACGACTATGTCATTTATTTACGTTTACATTTGAATATGTTCCCTTTACTTTGAAAGGTAAGAATATCTTCCCTTTACTTTGAAAGGTAAGGTTTTCAATAAATATGTTTAAAAATACAGGGTTGTGCTTTCTTTGGCATTTGTTCTTATGACAGCCTGGTGTTGCCACTTTGCTAGCAAACATTTTGTTTTATACATTTTGTTCGAACTTTCGCGTTTCATTTCTATTAATTTTATAAATTTTAAACGCACATTAGCACATGAACATTGCTTTGGATATTTTCTTAACTGTGTTATAACCTTCCGACATTTTCACGTATTTTTCTGGTTTTGTTTTGCCACAATCTTCTGACTATGCTAAGAAAAGGACATATTTATGCCATAGTACATCAAAATACAATGGACTCCCACCCGTACCTCAAATTCTTTGGATTAACGAATGCCCTGTTAAATTAACGGAGTATTGTGTATACGTTAAATTCTTATCCTTATGTCACGCTGAATGTCGTTGTTTCATTCTCCACATAGTTACAATGTGTTGCTGGAATAAAAATATCCAACGAAAACATAGTCCTCCTTGACGGCTCATTGAGGTAAACCTTCTCTTCTTACATTTAAATACGTTTTTATTACAACAATTTAGTCCAGACTTTAACAATGTGTCCGCTTGTTATCGTCTTCCGAAATAGTTGAGGGTATGCTTGTTTAACCGTGGTACTGCCAGCATCTGAGTGACTGAAGGTATTGAGGAAAGCACCTGTTCTTTCCAGTAAGTGGTGCCTGGAGCATAGTGTGTGCCTGGAGTTGATACGAATATGAAACCAACACCAATTGATTGTTTTTGTCTGCAGTCAAATTGGAATTTCCTCTGCAGCCCTGTTCGTCCTTTAGGCAAACATTTAAACTCCAGTTGAATCCCGGGTAAACATCCGACGTCAGACACACCGTACACATCGTTATTGGTTTCTTGATCGCGTAAACACATTGATTTGACGTACGTCCCACACTGTAGGTAGAGCCATGGGTCATTTTATAAACAATATGATCACTCCGTCTCGTGGACAGTGAACCAAATTAGTTTAATGTCATGCCCTGTTTGTTTACATCTCACAGAACACCGTATGTATAACATTTTCTGGACTTGTGTAAGTATAGGCATTGTCAAGATGTGGGTTAGGATTGTTCCATAGAATAGTTTGTTTTAAATAGTTTAAAGCACCACAGTCTGCATTCAGATGATTGGTTGACTGTCTGATCGCAATGGATAAGATATAGGGCGTAATCTGGATGACCACTAGAATAGGAACCACCGATCTGATGCGTCTTTCTTGATAATGAGGAAGCATTTGACTGTTACGCACTGTGTTCTATTTGGTAAATCATACAATCTTGGAAATACTGGGAATTTCTGATGTGCTAGACAACGAAAAAGCTAGTATTACTTTGGTTATTTACAGAAGGAATTTGACTTAAACAGGCTTGAAATGGAAGGTTAAATGGCACCTTCTGGACCCCTGCTAAAGCCAAACCAACATTATGTTCCAACCAAAAATGCATGTTTAAATAACAACTGCAATGACAACTTTGTTGGATATGAATCAGTCAAGGATATGTTATTTGCCAAGAGTTATGGAACTGATCAATTGCATTCGAATAATTTAATATCATGTTGTTAATCTACTCATGCTGGTGCCACTGGCACGTCATCGATATGTGCCTGCTAAAAGTAAATGATCAAAAGAAAGTTCCTTGGCAGACAAACCTCTTGCATTAACAATAACACTAGGATGACCTGGAGATGGGAGAGCATGTCCTATCAGAGCATCAGAACACTCATGACAGACAATCCTATTTGTGAACGGCAAAACAATTGAAAGTAGTCGTGTAGGTTCCGTCACGCCTAAGGAACCTTTCTGGCATTCGTGACAAGCACCAGGAAGTCAGCATTCGTATTCATTGCTTTTAGCTATTCATGTCATGTACTTGGCTACAATTAAATAGAAAACTCTCACTATCTTCGTGTCGCCTATTTAATGCAAGACAAGTTCATACGTGAAGAAAGCGTCACGAACATCTTTTTCTATGAAAATGCATGCATACTTCGACAATGTCCACCCACGATGATATACCTCATTACGAAGGGCAGAGTTCTGGACCATTTTCATCATCACAGAAGCTCAAGAAAATGCCGCTTCATGGGAAGTAATGACAGACTGTTTATGCCTTGCTCAACATTACAGAGTACACGGAATGAGACCTTTGGACGACAGCAGCAATCGTAGGTTTCTTATTACCTGAAAATGTGACGACGCATTGGAAAGGATAAATCTGTATCCACATAGATCTGCACTTCGTTTCACCAGTGAGCGTATCTCTGAACAAAACGAACCCCACTAACCCGGACGTTGTTACCCATAGATATCCGAACAGTTTCTCAGGTTTATGGAAGAGGTACTTTTGATATTCTTTGATATACGTGTGTTTCTAAGCGAACAACACTCACATTGGAGGACTACCTCACAAGCAGGCTTTACCGATTACAGACGGACTACCACTCTCACGGATCTTAAGATACTAACTGCCATATAGACATAATAGCAAGAGGCAAGGCAATTACTTGAAATGATCTCAAATGATCTCTATTGAGTAATATCTAAGAAACATCTCGCAGCATACTTAGTTAGCGGCGCCGACACGTACAGACATGTTTTCATGTCGGACGTTAGTGAGTTATCAGAGATTGAATCTACAAGAGTTTCGTTTCATTTGCTGTCATAGAAGTGACAAATCCTTTTGGCCATTAAAAGTCACATCCACAAACTTAAAAGATTCTGATAATGTTAATGCGTATTGTAATAGAATCTACAAGAGTTCTGATGACATAGAAGTATCATGATAAGATTGTCAGTGTGTATTTGTTTCAGCAGTGTTACTGCTGCACGATGTTGTTTGTAAACAATCCAGTCTGAACCAAACAATCCAGTGATTGTCGCCATGCGATGACGGACCATGTGTTTATGAATCACTATGAAATAATTACGGTACCACGTGTTCGCGAAAATGTGAGCGCATCCTGCCCCATCGGTGGCTAGTCAATTGTTCACCTGAAATAATTACGGAATGCTGAAATAACCCTAGAAAGAACATTTAAATGTATGGAAGCAGTTTCTTCATAACCCTGTCTCCAATTAGCAAATGGAAAAACGTTCATGGTATAAATGGCACCAGGGGAACCATGCACAAAGAGAACACATTGGTAGAGAAGTGTGCTGGGACTTAAACCGTTATGTTAATGCTAAATACAAGTTATGTTATATTCAGTAATGTTCAGCATTGTTAAACCAGGCATGAATGAGTGTATTGTACGGTGGCCTAGTGGTTAACACATTAGACTTGTGATCCAAAGAGCTAGGGTTCAAATCCAGCGTAATGGCAAAACTTTTGTAAATTTAATTAGTAAATATATAGCCTCATTTTCATTATTGATGGTCACATGACCTAACCCTTGCACAAAATCTTCATGCAAAGGCTGATTCACTGTGCTATCCACATGGTCACTTGGCTGTCTGCAAATCTCTCCGTATGGCAACACAAATGTGAGTACTTTTAATCATACATTGTATAACTTTATATGACATTTGAATAGTATATGTTGTTGGAGTTATCATGGGAATATTTTGACCATTATTATTGTGTATTTTGATAGAAAGCTGCTATTGAAGCATGTTACTCAAATGCGTTGTCGGACAATCTTCAAACGTTTTACCTAACAATTTTGAATAGCTATATTTGATAATTATGAAATCCTATATTTGAAAATTCAGAAAAGTTATATTTAAATGCTGTAATTGATGTATTAGCTAAAAGAATCATTTTGTTTCTTTTAGTTTCTTAAACCTCATCGATGGACCGAGTCATGTCAACGATAATAAGCCAATGACTTGTCACCGACTACCGAAAATCGTAACATTAATAAATCCCTGTCGATGCGAGTTTTCGAGTTGTGTTCTTGCATCTACATTTGTTTAAGAAAATTTGCAGACAGTCAAGTGTTACATGGGTGGTCAGCAGCATCCAACGTTTAGCAGTGGCTGCTGATATCTTTACAAGTTTTACACCACCGTGTAACGTGTGTAAACGTCTGGAGTGCTCAAGGTTCAAGGGTGAGGCATGGCGTCACAGGGCAACGTTGATGATGATAGTCACCTCTACAGCGAGGAATGGTCACGTCGTCATTCTTCTGAGGGGCAAACAACGTCCATGGTTGGTGATGTGAACACTGACAGTGGTGGTGTCGGTGATAGTGAGAACACCGCGAGAGTGTCGACAAATATTGGGATGCAGTTACGTCAAAACAGAACTGTTACAGAAAAAGGCAGAATTGAACATTTGAGAGTTTTGAGAAATAAGACTGTTTCTTCTTTATCAGCATGTACTAAGAGTAAAAATGAACTTGATCGTTTGAAAGAAAACATTGACAACTTGCATTTAGTGAAATCTGGTCTTGACAACTTTAATGATTTGTTGATATATTATAAATCATGTGTAGATTTGTATTGCAGTCAACTTGAGGAAGAAGATAGAGCTTTGGTGAGAGAGTTCGAATGAGAAGGAATCATCATTCCTATGCTTCAGAGACTCGTTAGTAAGCTGGGTCCTATGTGCAGAGAGAAAATGGCTAATGAGTTACATGAATCTGCGTCACAGAAAGGTTCAGTGAGTACTAATAGATCTTCTAAGTCTAAATATTCACACCGTTCTGGTAAATCAAGTTCAGTTAAATCTTCACATACTCATGAAAAAGCGAAACTTGCAGAGCTTCTTGCAGAGAAGTCCATGTTCCAAGCTCGTGCCCAGGCTGAGATGAAGCTGAAAGAAGTGGAGCTTGATACCAAGATTGCTAAGACAGCGGCGAAAGAGAAGGTGTACTCTGAGGCAGATGCTGCAGGTCAAGGTCAATGTCTAGGTGATCCCACTGTCACATTAAGATCTGTCACGACTCCGTCGTCACAGTACAATCAGATCAGTCAACAGAAAATTAACCCTTCTGCAGCAGACTTTTTGCCAGTAAATCAGAGCTCATTGAATCATACCTCTCAAAATCCAGGTGCTAGTATTGCTGTTGATAATCAGTCCTCATTGTTTAACCATGCTGTTCTAGAGACACAAAGACAGATGTCCCATGCTATGTTTCTTCCCAAACCGGAAGTGCCCAAGTTCACAGGAGACCCGACAGAGTTTTCAGCCTTCCTCATGGCGTTCGATGCCAGGATTGCTCCACATACGTCAAGTGAGGCAGATAGACTTTACTACCTCGATCAACAACTTCAAGGTGAGCCCAAAGATCTTATATCTGGTTGTCTTCATATGGATCCTTTAGCAGGGTATGCTGCTGCAAGAAACCTGCTTTGCAAAGAGTATGGTGATCCTTATAGAATCTCGACAGCTTATATGAACAAGATTCGTACTTGGCCTAATCTAAAGAATGAGGACAACGTAGGACTCAAGCAATTCTCTATTCTTCTGACAAAGTGTTATCATGTAATGAGAGGTATTTCTCATATGATTGTCCTTAATCATGCACCAAACATGCAGTGTGTTGTTTTGAAGCTCCCGGCGTATCTCCAAAGCAGGTGGAGGGATCGCGTTACGACTATGAAACTGAATGGGCAGGAGGAAGTGGAGTTCAAGCATCTCGTTGACTTCATCGACTTCGCTGCAAGATCTGCAAATGAACCTCTCTACAGTAAACAGGCACTGCTCTCCAAACATGATGATACAAGTCGTAAGGATAGGTTCTCTGATAAGTATAAACAATCAAACAAGTCTCAATCCACAAGTTTCGCTACTCATATCGGAAGTGAATCACAAAGTAAAAGCAAAGGCATCTCTTGCTTCCACTGTAAACAGTCTCACGATCTTGACGATTGCAAGTTATTTCTACAAAAGACACTTTCTGAAAGACGAGAGTATTTGAAGGAGAGTAACCGGTGTTACAGTTGTTATGGACTTAACCACATTTCAAAGGGTTGCATGAAAAAAAGAACTTGTAAACACTGTGGCAAACGTCATCCTACTGCTTTACATGATTACAATTTTCAGTCAAGACAGGGGCAACCGGACTATGTTTCCAAAGAGAAGTCATCCACTGGCGAGTCTAATGTCATCACTGGAGCTACGTTCTGTGACAATCAACGATTCAAGGTTAAAGAGACTGTGCTACAACCTATACTTCCTGTTAACGTCCGACAGAATGGAGGCGATAGGGTTGTGCAAACGTACGCCATGTTGGACAACGGCAGCACAGGATGCTTCATCACAGAAGGACTGAAGGATGAACTTCAAGCAAAGTCATCACCAACGTTGCTGAGGTTGCAAACGATGAACGGAACAGACCTCATCAACACAACAGTGGTATCAGATATTGTGATCTCTGACCTCTCTGATAGACAGTTTGTTAGTTTGCCACGCACATTTTGTAAAGATGTAATGCCCGTTGGTCACGACAATATTCCTAAATCGGATGCTTTGATGCAACTACCAGGTCTCAAGAATGTTGCTGAAATGATGCCGCTGTATCGACCAGACCTGAATATTGGCCTTCTTATCGGCAGTAACTGTTCAGATGGTCTTCGACCTCTTGAAGTCACCCCATCATCTGGCAATGGACCTTTTGCTGTGAAGTACAAACTTGGTTGGACAGTAAATGGCCCTCTTCAGCTCAAGTGTAATTTGGAAGACAAATCAGTTGTCTGCAACATGGTGGTTCTAAAGGAACATGAGAAGGTATCAGAATGCATCACCCCTGACACTGTGCTGAAGTTGTTTGAACTAGACTTTAACGAGGCTGATGTTGGGAAAGTCCCTGGTGAACGAGGCTATTCCATTGAAGATCAAAGATTTATAAAGGAGACCGAGGAAAAATTGAGGTTCGTAGATGGGCATTATGAAATTCCTCTTCCTTTTTGTAACGATTTAAATATGCCATCAAACAGGGAGCAAGCTGTCAAAAGGGTACTTTGGCAAAAGAAAAAAGATGATGAGCAATGCACAGTATCATAAAGATTATGTTGCATTCATGGATACACTGCTGGCAAAGGGTTATGCCATTGAAGTTCCTGCAGACGAGATTACTTGCCAACCTGGACGCGTCTGGTATCTGCCACACCATGGAGTGTATCATCCGAAAAAGCTGAACAAGATCAGAGTGGTCTTTGACTGTAGCGCCAAGTATGGAGGTTTATCAATCAATGATGTTCTTCTACAAGGCCCCGATCTTGCCAATTCTCTCATTGGTGTTTTAGCTCGTTTCAGATCAGACCAAGTTGCCTTCATGGGAGATGTAGAGGCCATGTTTCATCAAGTCAAGGTTCCACGGGAGCACCAGGACTATCTACGGTTTCTGTGGTGGCCTGATGGTAATGTTCATAGTGAGCTGAAGGAGTACCGCATGACTGTGCACACTTTCGGAACTGTATCCTCTCCCACTGTTGCCAATTATGCCCTGAAAAGCACAGGAGCCAAGTCCAGATCTAACTATGATGACCAGGTTGCACAAACGATAGAACGCAATTTCTATGTCGACGACTGCTTGAAATCTGTGGAGTCTGATGAGTGTGCTAGTGACTTGATAAAGAATGTAAAGCTTGCATGTGCGGATGGTGGATTCAACTTGACAAAGTTTACAAGCAGCAGCAAGATTGTTCTGTCCTCCATTCCTCAAGAACATCGCTCCAAGGAGATTCAAGCCGTTGACCTCAGTCGAGATGATATTCCCATGGAGAGAGCACTGGGGCTGCAGTGGGATACCAAGCTGGATTGCTTCAAGTACACGGTTGACTTGCCAGAGAAGCCGTTTACTAGACGAGGAATTCTGTCCATGGTGTCCTCCTTGTATGACCCTCTAGGTCTCGTCGCACCGGTGCTGCTGCCTGCTAAAAGAATCCTTCAAGACTTGTGTAAGGACAAGGATCTAGGCTGGGATGACAACATCGGTATGGAGTTCGCAGGCAGATGGACAAATTGGCTCCAGGAAGTCGAAATGCTCAAAGGTCTAACTGTTAGAAGATGTCTGAAGCCTCCTGATTTTGGTGATGTATTGTCTCAACAGTTACATATCTTCTCTGATGCTAGCTCCACAGGATATGGTTGCTCTGCATACATTAGGCTTTTTTGACATAAATGGAAACATCCACACAACACTTCTCCTGGGCAAAGCTCGACTGGCTCCTTTGAAAACCCTGACTATTCCCAGATTAGAACTGACAGCTGCTACTGTGTCTGTGAAAATAGGACAATTTCTCCTGCGGGAACTGGATGTAAACATTGACCGTGTCACCTACTACACAGATTCAACAACTGTTCTGCAGTATATTCGCAGTGAAAAGAACAGATTTCCAGTGTTCGTCGCCAACCGAGTGAAGCTTATCAGGGACTTCAGTACACCAGAACAGTGGAAGTATGTCGATTCCAAAACCAACCCAGCTGACATTGCATCTCGAGGATCTAGCTGCTCACAGTTCCTGAAATCCATTGAATGGTTCAATGGTCCAAAGTTCTTGAGAATGCCTGATTCAAAATCAATTTCGGAACCTCAGAAAACAATTGAAGCTGCTGTGATGTCAACGTTGAATGAGACAGCGGATTCCCCTGGAGATGTTGTTAGTAAACTCCTCAATTATTACTCATCCTGGTACAGACTGAAAAGAGCAGTCGCAATCTATCGCAGGTTCTTCAACTTTCTGAAAAGCAAGTCTCAAAAAGGAAAGCCCTCAGCTAACGCTCTTTTGTCACTTCAAGAACTCATAGACTCTGAGGAGAGTATTCTTTCCTTTGTTCAGCACATGGAGTATGGCTCAGAAATCTCAATCCTCTCTAAGAACACAGAAATGGGTTATCGACCCACTGTACTACCAAGAAGTAGTCCTGTCCGCAATCTCTGCCCATGCTTTGTGGATGGTTTACTCAGAGTTGGAGGTCGTTTGAGCAATGCCAACATCAGCGACACCATGAAGCATCCTGTCCTATTGCCACGTAAGTCTCCTCTATCCGATCTGATTGTTCGTGATGTACACGAGAGACTAGGTCATGCTGGTAGAAACCATGTCCTGTCTGCACTAAGAGAGGAATTTTGGATTACAAACGCTAATTCTGCTGTCAGAAGTATTTTGAACAAATGTGTACTTTGTAGGAGATTAAAGATGTCCACCGGTCAGCAGATTATGTCCGATCTCCCGACCAACAGGGTACAGCCATCTCCACCATTCACCTGCACTGGACTAGATTGTTTTGGCCCTCACACCGTCAGAGAAGGACGCAAGGAAGTAAAACGGTATGGTGTCCTGTTTACTTGCATGGTTAGCAGAGCTGTTCACATAGAGACTGCCAACTCCTTAAATACAGACTCCTTTATTAATGCTCTTAGACGTTTTATCGCCCGCAGAGGAGCAGTCAAAGAGATCTCTTGTGACAACGGCACAAACTTCACTAGTGGAGCCAAGGAACTTTGTCATGCACTTGATGAAATCGACCAGTCTGAAGTTCACAATTACTTGTTGAAACTGAACATCATCTGGAAATTCAACCCACCTTCAGCCAGTCATATGGGAGGTGTATGGGAAAGGCTGATACGGTCTGTCCGTGGTGTTCTCAGCCCGCTTCTCCAAGAATACAGTCAACGCCTTGATGATGAGCTGTATAGAACACTCCTGTGTGAAGTTGAGTCGATTTTGAATTCTAGGCCTCTGACAACAATGTCCAGTGATCCGTCAGATGTAGAACCATTGACACCCAACCATTTGCTGATGGTAAGATCCAGTGCGTACATTCCACCACCTGGAGTATTTCAGGCATCTGATGTCTACGCACGCCGCCGATGGAGACGTGTACAGTACTTGGCAGAGCTTTTCTGGAGTAGATGGAGAAAGGAGTACCTTTTAACACTTCAGAAACGTCAGAAATGGCAAGCTCCAAAAAGGAACTTCAAGGTAAACGATATTGTTCTGGTCAAGGACGATAACCTCCCCAGGAATGCTTGGCTCATGGCTCGCGTTGTGGACACTGAACCCGACAGTCGTGGCTTTGTCAGAAGTGTGACCCTCAAGACAAGAGGTTCAGATCTCCGAAGGCCAATTCACAAACTAGTATTGCTCGTACCTGCTGCAGAATAACTTGATTATCTCAGGTATTAAGTGTTGTCAAGACCAGTTAGGTATTTCGCATTATTGTATTGTTTTGTCTTAAACACCCTAGGTGTGTTTAACGGGCCGGGTGTGTTAATGCTAAATACAAGTTATGTTATATTCAGTAATGTTCAGCATTGTTAAACCAGGCATGAATGAGTGTATTGTACGGTGGCCTAGTGGTTAACACATTAGACTTGTGATCCAAAGAGCTAGGGTTCAAATCCAGCGTAATGGCAAAACTTTTGTAAATTTAATTAGTAAATATATAGCCTCATTTTCATTATTGATGGTCACATGACCTAACCCTTGCACAAAATCTTCATGCAAAGGCTGATTCACTGTGCTATCCACATGGTCACTTGGCTGTCTGCAAATCTCTCCGTATGGCAACACAAATGTGAGTACTTTTAATCATACATTGTATAACTTTATATGACATTTGAATAGTATATGTTGTTGGAGTTATCATGGGAATATTTTGACCATTATTATTGTGTATTTTGATAGAAAGCTGCTATTGAAGCATGTTACTCAAATGCGTTGTCGGACAATCTTCAAACGTTTTACCTAACAATTTTGAATAGCTATATTTGATAATTATGAAATCCTATATTTGAAAATTCAGAAAAGTTATATTTAAATGCTGTAATTGATGTATTAGCTAAAAGAATCATTTTGTTTCTTTTAGTTTCTTAAACCTCATCGATGGACCGAGTCATGTCAACGATAATAAGCCAATGACTTGTCACCGACTACCGAAAATCGTAACATTAATAAATCCCTGTCGATGCGAGTTTTCGAGTTGTGTTCTTGCATCTACAATGAATGTCCAGAGTAATTATGTTTCCAATTACTTTTGGACACAGTGTCCAGAACGAATATGAAACCAACACTGATTGACTTTTTTTTGTCTGTAGTGAAATCAGATTTTCCTCAGCAAACCCCTTCGTCCTTTACACAAACTAGTACAGTCCACTTAAGCCCCGGGTAAACATCCGGCGTCAGACACACCGTACATATCTTTATTGGTTTCTTGATCTCGTAAACACATTGATTTGACGTCCGACACTGTAGACAGACAGACAATGATTTTATTACAGTCTCACTTGTGTACATACTGTTGATTGATACACATATAAAATATAATACACAGAGGGTATGAGTACACAACCAATCACTTAGTGACTTATGAGAGACTAAAACCTAGTAAATACATACATAAATATAGAAATATGAATATATGTACATATGTAAACGCATATAATGCTGCTAACAGGCATAAAAGTAAAACAGTATAATTAGGAATATAAAAGGTCACGTCGTTTCGTAAGATAAGATTGCAGGTTCTGGCAGTGTGTAAAACAATATTACAATCACTAAAAAGTACGACAAACTTTAAAACATCATTAAGGTTTGTAACTGTTTGTAACTTTTCCAGCTGTGTTGATATTTTTGATGAGGTCGTCTATGTACAGTTTAAACAGCAGCGGAGATAATATTCAGCCCTGTTTAAGACCTCTGTTTGCGCTGAACCAAGCTGTCTGTAGATGATTGACTCTAACTGAGCATTGAACGTATTGATATAAAGATCTGAATGCTGACAGCATTCTTCCTTGGACGCCACACTTCATCAGTCTTTCCCATAGTTTCTCAGATCATCTGCAAGTGAAATGACCTTTGCAGAGACGTTGTGCACTTCCACTGACCCCAGAGTGACCGAGAGATGGGAGGGCATGTCCTCCCCCGGCGTCGGCATACATCCTCCACAGTGCGCCCAGTCTTGTAGGTTCCGTCATGCCATAAGGAACTTTTCCAACATTCGTGAGTTCAAGTAAGCCACTATTCGTATTCATTGCTTTCAGCTATTCGTGTCATGTTCTTGGTTACAACTAAATAGTTCGGGATAATGTTTCACCCTCTTCGTGTCGCCTGCTTCATGCAAGCCACATTCGCATGAGAGAAAGCGCCACATAAAAACAAGCCAATTTTCTACCGACGACGATATACCTCATTACGAAGGAAGAGTTCTGGGCCAGGTTTATCATCACAGAAGCTCAAGAAAAAGTCGCTTCATGGGAAGAAAAGACAGACTGTTTATGCGTTGCCCAACATTACAGAGTACAGGGAATGAGACATTTGGACTATAGTAACGGTTTAGGTTTCGTATTATCATGTAAATGTGAAGACACATCAGAAAGAAATCTATATTCATGTAGGGCTGCACGCCATGCACTTCGTTTATGGCCTAGGGTTAAGAACGTTTCTCTGAAAAATACCGTGAACCTCTTTAATCCGGACGGTTTCACCCATAGATTTCTTAGGATTATGGAAGTGTTTTGTCACTTTATGTTCTTTCATATGTGTCTGTTTCTAAACCATCGGCACTCAATGAAGAGGAATGCCTTACAAGCAGGGTTCTGACGATTATACACGAACTACAACTGATGACATCGAATATCAGGATACTCCTGTATATGGGCATCATTGAGACAAACATGATCTATCTGTATCACGACGGAGGACACCAGGAATTGACTTCCAGAACCAATGAACACTTTCACCAAAAGCTACCTCATTAACCCTCCAACATTAAGGAAATATGTTCATGACACTCATGGAATAACATATTTCTAGTGAACAGTCCTACGTGTATCTGGATGTTCATTTTACATTTACTGACCATAACAATATTGATTTCAAGACATATAAATGAATATTTTATATTTTATATCAATATATGTGATGACAGACTTTACAGTTGGCCTGATATCTCCTGTCAAATGACTAAGCCAATTTTGAGTGCACTTTCTCGGACGAGTCGATGATTCGTGTACTAATTTCGAGAACAAACCAATCTGAATGAAGTGTTTAGTTCCAGGGTTATCAAAGGGCATGATGTTCAAACGCTCGCACGTCTGAGGAAAGCTATTGCCATGGTGGTCTGTAAAGTGTCGTTAGCACACGGGTGTGACATTGAACTGAATCTGTTCATTGCCCAGAGTTGATATAATTGCTCTGCCATTGATCCTCACTGCTGGCTACAGTAGGCGAATCAAGAAACAAATAGTGAGTACGTGTGTTTGGTTCAATGCCTCTTTCAACAGCAGTTCTGCTACGTCGGGCGTGCTCGTATCTGGCTGTGTGGGAGGAAAGCTATAGAATTGAAGCAAAGATACAGTGCACATAAAAACATGATAACCCAAACGAATCGCCGACTCAGGCATGAACAGCTCCTTGCAGTATGTTTTCATGGTATTTCAGGAACCCTTTGAGAATATAGTCTTACTAAAGACCTGTGACGTTAATGCACTGCGGAGTCTCAACCATCATGCCTTCTTGTAGAATACATCTTTTCACATGGATTTTTTCATGTGAAGCCTTGATTCCCTTATCGAAACAAACATTCCTATCAAGGATTAGGTGGAGGAACTACACAGATGTAACTGTATCTGAATCTTCATGTGGTTGCCTATCGATCTGTCTGCGATCACCAGGAGACTGGCCTTGTTTGACATGACAGATCTTAATTCATTGTATAAGACGGGACTGTGAAATCAGAAAAGGGGTGTCTCACTCCAATAGGAACACGTACGTTTCTCCCGTCTTTTGCAATACTGTAATCATTTAGAAAATAGTCCAAAACACCTGTAAAATCATTCTTAACAGTTGAAAACAGTGTTGCGATATCAATGAAATTATTTTTTGTGACTATCATGCGCTAATTGCAATAGCGCGTCTAATAATAATCTGCTGAAATGACATAAATGTTTATGACTGAAGGATAGTATTGGGAGAGTATGATATTTACCTACATATCGTAATGTTGACACACTTTTTGCTTATCCATGAACACAAAGACTACCATGCCTTCAACAACAATAGACATGTCTAATTGTTTTAGGAGGAACATTATTTGATTATTGGTATTGTTAAACTACACCCTGTTACACTGCATTGTCTCTGTTACGATTCATAACATTGTGTTTTAACAATAATTAGTTGCCAGGAAAGTGTTACTACCATATGCAAGCACTTCTTTCAGTGACGCTTCAGATGTTGGGATGTACAATATTGACAGAATGTGGATAGCAACTAAGAGGGCTTTTATGCAAGCAGTGGGTATAGGTACAGTCCGTCTGGGTTCAAATGAGAACGATGAATGATAAATAACTCGAAATAGGGACAAGTGCACAAATCATTAATAAGACACATGGGCCAGAGACCTCTGTACCCAACAGGATCTGAAATTTGGCGTTATACGATCGATCATGGAAAAAGTTGTTTAAGAAACCATCATGTAACCCTGAGCTATTTGCGCGCTTTTCATTTGAACCCAAACGGACTGTAACTGTTGAAAATGTTGAAAGTTTTAATAATGTGGTAACCTTTACAAAACAGTTCTTGTATAAACAATTCCTTGGGGAGTCCAATATGCCCTTTCTTCACTGCGTTGTATGTGTAGCAGTCTGATATTTTGACACGGAAGGAATGTTAATGACAATGTGAAAGATTAAATCTGTCAAGCCGTTTTTCATGACCATTGGAACCCGCCTATTTCTAAACATTTTCAGATTAAAAACAACACAATTGCCAGCCTGTAATAATGTTGGATGCAGTGAACGGGGTGGGAAACACCTTAAGACTTACCACGTCACTTCCCCAGCTTTCACTGGAATTACTTGCACAGGTAATATACTTAGTTACAGGCACTGAAGTCTATAAACATGTTTCCAGGCCATACCTAAAACGTGGTGAGCTAAAGGGGTTCAGCATATCTCAGCAGTGGAAGGGAGGATATCAGGTATTATGAAGTCTAGGTGGCTATATATAACAGAGACCAGTGAATCTCAACAGCTGCTTAGACAAACAGGCAAATCATTACATTTGTATTTGTTGCCGAGAACCAAAATAGTAATTATTATTCATCTCTGCCTTTGACCATAATCTCGACATCTTTGTTGGTACCGCACCCATCATCTGCAGTG